CAAGTCATATTTTGAAAGAAATATTTTTTTCTAAGCAGTAGGTCTCAATGTGGTCTTAAAAAGATTCAGAAAACCAGGCTGTAAACAGGTGTGCTGCCATCCAGGCTTTGCAGTTTTGTTTATAGATTACAGGCAAAGTAGGTTTAGCATAATTCTTAAGAGCCCTGGGATTTTTGGAATGGTAAATTAACATTGGTCTCAAATTTACCAGTTGCATTAGCCCTTAACAAGAAGTCAATCTATCCTTTGAAGCTGTGATGCCAGGCATTTACTTTCCTTTAGCTGTGAAAGTCCTAGATGGCATCTTCTTCCAGTAGAAGGCTGTTTCATCTACAATGAAAATCTGTTGTTTAGTGTAGCTACCTTCATCACTTATCTTAGCTAGATCTTCTGTATAACTTGCTTCAGCTTCTCCATCAGCACTTGCTGCTACGTTCCACATTTATGTTCTAGAGATGGCTTCCTTCTTTAATCCCCATAAATCAGCTTCTGTAGCATCAATCTTTTCCTCTCATTTCCCTCTTCTCTCTCAGCCTTCACAGAATTGAAGAGCGTTAGGGCCTTATTCTGGATTAGACTTTGGTTTAAGGGAATGTTGTGGCTGATTTGATCTTCTATCTATACCACTAAAACTTTCTCCATATCAGCAATAGGTTCATTTTTCTTTCTTATTATTTGTGTATATTTACTGGAGTAGTACTTCTAATTCCCTTAAATATCTTTTTCTTTGCATTCACAACTTGGCTAACTGGTGCAAGAGGCTCAGTTTTTGACCTGTCTCAACTTTCAATGTTCTTTCCTCACTAAGCTTAATCATTTATAGCTTTTGATTAAAAGTGAGAGGCACCTAACCATTTCTTTCACTTGAACAATTAAGGATCATTGCAGAGCTATTAATTGGCCTAATTTCAATATTCTTGCATCTAAGGAAATAGAAAGGCCTGAGGAGCAAGAGAGAAATGGGGGAGTGGCCAGTTGGTAGAGCAGCCAGAAAACATGCATTCATTGATTTAGTTCATTGTCATGGTGCACTCAAACAATTACAAAAGTAACATCAAAGATCACTGATCACAGATCACCATAATAGGTATAATAATAATAATATTATAAATAATGTGAGAATTATCAAAATCTAACACAGAGACATGAAGTGAGCACATCCTGTTAAAAAAAAAAAAAAAATGGCCCCAGTAGACTTGCTTGATACAGAGTTTCCACAAACCTTCAATTGGTGAAAAACTGCAGTATCTGTGAAACACAAGAAGGTTAAACAGTATAAAATGAGGTACTGCTGTATTAAGTTACTAAGGTGTTTTAAAAGATATGAGAGACAGAAGAAACAAAACTATGCCTTGTCTTCTTGTCCACAGGGATCTCAATTTAGCTGAAAACAGAGATATATATGTTTTTAAAAAATAAAAATTAAAAAAGCTCATCTTGCTTGTTTTGTGCATGCTGTTTCTACCCGGAACACTCTCTTTATCCCCTTGCTTGGATCTTCCTAGCTGACGCCTTTCCTTTAAGATTCTAACTAAAGCCTGCATTTTCAAGGAGGACTTTCCTGTTCCCAGGAGACTTACCTTGGAATTTCCTTATCAACCATTTAGCAGCATTCTGTACGTTCCGTTTTACTATCACCCTTTACAGCAATGAGTTGCTTTTTGTCTACTTTTTTGTCTACTTCTAAATTGAGAAGAAGCCCAATAAATGTGTCAAATAAATGAATAAAAACCTTTGAAGAGTAATTTTAAAAGTTAAAAACTAAATGCCATTGCCAGTTTAAGAAGGAAAATGGAGACTTTAGGCAGCAGAAAAAAAATTTGTATAGAAAGTTAGGCTCTGATGTTTTTATTGGTAATAAAAACTAAGATGAAAGGTAGAATTATTCATGGTGATAAAAACTGATTGAAAGCGTAGATCCACACTTAAGGAAAAGTAAAAATTGCCATTCATTTCTGGCCTATGAGTCACATCGAGAATCAGCCTTGACCTGGTTGACATATTACATTCTGCACATACCTAATAGCTCTAATTGATGTGTGTGCAGAGCATCAAATGAGTTGGCATTAGTAGAAAAGAACAAAACAGTTTTTTTTTTAATGTGAAGGATAATGGTCGAGCCAACTTCTGTTTTATTACTGCCAAATGGCTTGATCATGGAAGCAGTGGGTATAAAAATGTCAAAGGATTATGGAAAAAATGATTCCTTCAGTTTTTAAATGGGTGTAAGATACTTATGGACTTGATAACAGGAGCTATTTTTTGTTGAATTTTCAACCAATTTTATAAAGCTTTTCTCTTAAGGAAAGTTATTGGTCTCAGAACTTTTAAAATCTAAAGAAATCATCCCGGGTTGCTGAATATAATATGACATTTTTTTTTTTTTAGTTTCCTCATTCAGTAGAACATATTCTTTCTGTGATATATTCTTTCAATACAAATTTGTATTGTTTTCATTTACCAGAGAAATACGAAAGAACTGATTATGCTGAACAGATGGCAATGCCCATTACAAAATAAGGGCCAGAACAATTTTATGCAAGTTCATATCTTTGCAATTATATTACTAGTGATTACTAAAATATAATTTTAAATGTATCCAATCATTCTGTAAGATGTACAAAATTTCTTACTTATATTTTAAATTGCTAATTATTTTGCACATTGTTATTATCTAAAGTTAATTAGAAAATCCAGAGGGATGATTGTTTTCTAATATAAGTGCAATATTGCTTAGTTATTTGAATCTTAAAATGAGTGAACTTGAGACTGTTGTAAGTCTCAACAAAGATCAGTAAATAAAAGAGTAATTTATTCATAAATGGATTTTTTAGTGATTGTCTTCATCTAATAAACATAGATCCTCAAATTCACATCAGTCACTGTTCATTGTTAACATCTAAATTGGGGGATTCATAATTATTTTTCTAAGGTCTAGGTAAGAATATTCTAGGGTCTATTAATAATTTATTTCATCATGGGTTCTGCATGGTATTCTCTTCCTAATTCAAGATTGAAGAAGATGGAAGAAGCAGCCGCAGTTTTAATACTGTATTTCTACTACTTTCAAAAGGTAACAAAGGCCTATTGGTTAGATAAAAGCTGAGACGTTGGCACTTGCAATCATACTATCAGTCAATGTGCCCATTTAATATCTTTCTCCATGGCCAGATAGTTTGTTAAAACAAAACTATGATAATCTGTTTCTCTTTTTTATTAATAGGTAAACATCTTAGAAGAGTATACTTCATTCTTTAGTCCAGCACCACATAGCTTTTGTCCCTTCCATGGTTCCAATTTTTTTTTTTTTTTTTGAGAAGGAGTCTTGCTCTGTCACCCAGGCTGGAGTGCAGTGGCACGATCTCGGCTCACTGCATCCTTCGCCTCCTAGGTTCATGCGATTCTCCTGCCTCAGCCTCCTGAGTAGCTGGGATTACAGGCGTGTGCCACCTCGCCTGGCTAAGGGACATGGATGCAGCTGGAAACCATCATTCTCAGCAAACTATCGCAAGAACAGAAAACCAAATACCACGTGTTCTCACTCGGAGTGGGGGGAGGGATAGCATTAGGAGATATACCTAATGTAAATTACGAGTTAATGGGTGCAGCACACCAACATGGCACATGTATACATATGTAACAAACCTGCACATTGTGCACGTGTACCCTAGAACTTAAAGCATAATAAAAAATTTAATAAAAATAATAATAATTTTTGTATTTTTAGTAGAGATGGCGTTTCACTATGTTGGGCAGGGTGGTCTCAAACTCCTGATCTCAGGTGATCTGCCTGCCTTGGCCTCCTAAAGTGCTGGGATTACGGGTGTGAGCCACCATACCTGGCCCCAAATTAGTTTTTATTGTGATCATTAATGACCAAAAATGCAAAGGTATTTTCCCATCCAGTGGCATAAAACTTTATCTCATGTATTTCTGTGACTTGAATGATCAATTATAGTCTAACAGCTCCCGGAACTATAACTCCAGACCAGATATTCCCCCTGAGGTTCTGATTCATATGTCCAAATGCCCATCGGGCAACTCAATTTGGATCCCTATAGAAAATGTAAGCCCCACACGTCCAAAATCACTTAGTTCCTTTATCTGTAAAATTGGATGGTAAAAGTTTCTAATTCATAGAAAGAGTAGTGAGAATTAAATAATCCCTAGCATATATAAAGCAGTCAGTAATATTAGTTATTATTATTGTTATCAATGTCCATATTATTATTCCTAGTTGATGACTTGACTCCAACTCATACCTCATCCCTTGGACATCTCATTTTCTCAGTGGATTCTCTTCATTTTCCTTGCTCTCAATCTTCCAGGCTAAGCAGTGTCTTAACATGTGAAGTCTTTAAATCATATTCTAAGCCAATGTGATATAATCAATATTAAAACAGCACATCTGACAAGGCAGTCACTTCAAAACTTCTAACAGTTTGATGGATTATTCTGAGAAGAATGACTTATGCAATTAGTTTATGACTCAACACTCAAAAAGATGCAGTATCTATACAAATTTTTCAGTCTCTTCTCTTTGAAAAATTAGCCACATCATATTGTATTTAAAAGTTTAGCATCCTGTAAGTCTCTGGGTAACTTTACATTTTCTATTTCTTTAATCTGTTCTCATTTGGTTTTTTTGTTTATTATTTGTCTAAAATGTTAATTTCATTACATGATAGATAACCAGGTTAACTATGGTGGGAAAGTAGATCAAAAGTATTTTGGGATTAATGAAGAATGAACAGGTAAATTTAGGTTTGTGTTACCAGAAAACATGAGAAATGATAGAAAAGTGGATATAACAAAAAAAGTCATTCATTTTCAGGAGGTCTGGTAACTGAGAATCCTTGTTTACAAAGTATCTGTTTTGACTGTGAGGTACAGAATTATCACATTCATACATCATTTGTGTCCCTTAAAAATATAAACTATATTCATAATTAAATTTTAAAAGTATTCTGTTTTAAAACAAGTAAATTAATAGACCAACAGACAGTTCATTTCTTTATTTTGTTACTTGATTCCCAATCTTACAATAGCTCTTCTCAGATAATTCTCAACTTTACAAGATAATTTGGAGTTACTGCTTTTCAAAATCCTTTGGTAATTGCTTGTGTCTGAATCATGCCATCTCATTCCATGGGATCTATTAATATTCAGGTAACTAGACAAGGGTATTTAGCAACCCAGTGATGCAGATGCTATGGAATGGGTTTTCACAGATATGGAGCTGCAGCTTTACATTATCTTCAGAGAGACAGAAAGAGGAGTCTAGAGAGAAAGCATAGTAATTTAAAACATCTGACACCCCATAGCCCTCCTTAGAAAAGTCATATCCGTTTGGACACATGCCAGAATTCCCTCTGAATTGCTTTTCATAAAGCCCTCAGATTCCTAGTTCTTAATAAGTTCTGTTCACTAGTTATCATAGATATATAATTTATCCATAACCCTGCTGTCTTTCCTGCAGATTACTCGAGCATATGCTGATTTTGGCTCTGTTACAAACAAAATAAAATCCTCTATTCCTTGAGCTCAAATACTCCAATATATAATTATTCTTTTAGAACAGTATGTTCACTTTATGTACTTGTCTAGTCATAGATATAAAGTTACTTAGTTTCCTAAGTCATTCGCAAAATTTGTGGCTCTATAGCCATAATAAATTGCGAAATAATACTAGAGGGGCAAAAATATTTATAGGAATAATCTTTCAAAAGAAAAAATCTTGAGTGTGATGGTTCTTTGTACATTCTCTTAAGTAAATCATCAGAGCCTGGTTATTTTTCCTTTATTCTTGAAATTCAGGCATGGAGATAGCATTGAAATTCTGGCCAAATCTGCTGTTGCTGAAATTTATAGAACAGATTTGGAGTTACCAATTTAAACTTCATAGTTGGCTGAGAATCCAGCTGTGTTGGCTCAGTCAGAGAATGCAATGAAAGGTGGAACTGAAATCATCTGATACCATCCACGAAGGGGTCTAGAGACTGGGAGGGAGGAGGGAATAAGCAAATTAAAACAAAACAAAACAACAAGCCTCAAGAGAGAATAGTTCATTTGCTGATAGTAATGGTAATATTTTTACATTAGAAAGTCTCATCATTGACATGAAAGGAAGGGAATTTTAGCTTTAACTGTAGAAATAACCGACTTGGTCTTCAATTTAAGTGGTTTGGGGAAGCTAGCAGAGTACCCTAACCCCCATATCCCAGAGCTGAGGGAAGCTGGCTGCTTTACACAGTGAGCCAAATGGCCAGTTACATGAAGGTGAAAAGGCACCATGCCAAATACAAACACATTTTCTGTGGTGGCTATTTTTAACTCTGTGCTATATCTTTTGACCTCTTTCCACTTGATCCATTATCTTAAATATACACATTCTTAAGGATGACACATCTGAATACTATGCAAATATTTTCTTCATTTTCAAGTTGGATAAAAGAAGACAAGGTTCTGACCCTGAAATAAAGGCTAAGCCTCTTGGCAAGCTCAGAGGTGGTTTGTCAAGTTCACGTTTCCTGCCTTACTAGCAGTGCAGGTCAAGAAACTCTTGTTAGTTTCTTGACAAGAGAAGTCTAGTCCTACTTCACATGTGCCGAGGTTCTAGGTGGCACTTCTTAAACACCATTTACAGGGAAACAGGCCTTTAAAGGGAAATTGTCTTCTCCCCTTTCTTTACAAAATCATAAATGTATTCTAGGAATGCCTGATCCTCTGATTCCTGCAATCCCCAAATTCCTAAAAGAATCTCGATTCTGAGTGTGCACACACATACATGCACACAGAAGTTCACACACAGTGCATGGGGTATAGTGATGCTGATTTAAAGGTTATGGGTAGAGAAGTGGTTACTCCCTCAAGAGGGAAATTACTGTGCCTGTCTAGAAAGCCAAGGCATAATCACATGCTGGGTTGCGCCCCCTGGTGCTTCTACTGAGTATCCCTCATTTTCTATCCCAAGACCAGTAACGGGCCAAGGGAGTCAACAGGACAGGAGAGAGGTGTTTGCAGGCCTTTAAAATCCAGTGCTTCAACACTTCTTTGGGTAGCTATCCAGAGACCCAAAATATTTTTCCCCAAGATAGTGCATAAGTCTCATTTGACTTTGGTACTTGGGTTGAACTTTGAGTTGAGTTGAACCTTGCTGCCATGTTCATTATAAAATGAATACTAATGGGGTAGTATGTTTGAGAGTTACCAGCCTTTACCTGTCTGTAACTTGCTACAGGCTTCCAGGGAGTAAGAAACACTGCTACTATTATGGTCATTTATTAAATACATTTGCAGAAAAAAGTTTTTACCTTTTCAAAGCACTTTAACATTTGTTATCTTATTTAAACTTTGCAAACCTGTAAAGCAGATGGGGTAAGAACCAGAATTTCCACTTTGAAGGTAAGTAAATTGAAAGAAAGTCAACCCTGAGGACAGGCCTCACAATCTAAGGGACTGGCTAAATATTCAGGGAAATGTGTTCACATTGGGGTAGAGACATCAGCAGGCAAGCCTAAAATTGAGTAGAAGAGAATGCCAAAGGAAACCAATTAAAGATGCTTTTTAGGTCCAAGTGAATTGCATGGTGTTGAGAAGAGTGGAAACTTAAAAGGTTAAAATCAAGGTAAATAAAGGAAGAAAGTAGGTTGTGGTACACTACACTGTCTTCTGTTTCCTTGGCTTTCAACCTGGGGTGATTTTTACTGCCAGGAGACACTTGGCAATATCTGGAGATATTTTTGGTTATCAAAACATGGTGGGGTGGGGAGTACTGTTGGCATCTATCAGTTACAAGCCAAGAATGCTGCTAAACATTCTACAATGGGTAGGACACCCCCCTACAAGAAAGAATTATCTAGCCCCAATTGTCAATAGTACTGACATGGAGATCCCTGATCTATAATACTTAGAGTAGTTATCTGGTGAATGGTAAGTCACCTTGATTTAAAGCGAGAAACTTAGAATGTCTGACATAAATTCTACCACTCTTGGATACCCTCTGATTTGTTTCCTTAGGAGGTAGATAGGCTATAATAGGTTGGATGGAGTGAAAGGGTTAAAGAGAACCATGTACCATTTGTATGCTCTGTGTTCATTCTATATGAAAATAAGCTATGTAGATATGGCTTTCTCTTTTTCTATTTTAAATGCTAAAGAATACTGTTTTTTAAAAAATTTATGTATTTTTATTAAAATACAGAATGGAGTTATTTGAGATATACCTGGTGGCCCCTTTATTTGGAAGGGTTATATTTTTAAAATTATACTGTATCAAATTGCACAAACGATCTACTTTTGTAGAGGGGATGCTAAATAAATATTCACTTCTGTGTTTCCTTTTTCATTTGCTTACTAAAAGCATGTGCATCCAGGGATTCAAGTCAGCACTGGCTGTAGAGAAAGTAAGCACTGTATAATTAAGTGGGAATCTATGGCTTTACTGACTGGCTCTACTGAAAGCAATTGTGTCCTGCATTTTTTTTTTTTTTTTTTTTTTTTGCCTAATACCCATTTGCAGGGTAGCTTTCTGCCAACAGTATCTTTCCCATGCTGAAAAATTGGCCTTCTGCTTTGAGCACATTTAAAAAGAGATATTTTGTATTTTCTTTTTGTGTTATTTAGATGTGCTAAACATACATAACTGCAAAAAATAGGACAATGAAATTAGGAAACATAGGTGTACTTAATATTTACTAGAAAATACCCACCCCAAGGTTATTTAAGGCAGGCAATCACTTGCCCGTTATGGTCTAGACTTGTGATGCTCAATTTGATAGTCAAGTGTGGAGCTACTTACGTTAAAATTTTAAAAATTAAAATTAATTAGAAACTTGACTCCTCAGTGGCACCAGCCACATTTCAAATGTTAAAATAGTGGGTAGTAACCATCATAATGGGCAGTGCAGATATGGAGTATATCATCACACAATGGTCTACTGGACAAGGTTTCTTCAGTTGAGTGGATTCAACAGTTGATAGTAATGTGAGGACAATGTTGAATGCCAGTGAACTTTTCCTTTTTTTTTTTTTTTTTTTTTTGATGGAGTCTCGCTTTGTCGCCCAGGCTGGAGTGCAGTGGCGCAGTCTCGGCTCACTGCAACCTCTGCTTCCTAGGTTCACGCCATTCTCCTGCCTCAGCCTCCCGAGTAGCTGTGACTACAGGCGCCCGCCACCATGCCCAGCTAATTTTTTGTATTTTTAGTAGAGACGGGGTTTCACCATGTTAGCCAGGATGGTCTCGATCTCCTGACTGTGAGATCCGCCCGCCTCGGCCTCCCAAAGTGCTGGGATTACAGGCGTGAGCCACCGCGCCCGGCCGAGCTTTTCTTTGAGCAAGCAAAATGCTCCTGCACAACCACTTGAAGTCTCTACCCAGGAGGCAATAACTATAAAGGCCTCATCATATTTTTATTTAATTCATCTAATAATTACTTATTCAATCCCTGCTATAGGTTAGGCACAATTGTAGGCATTGGGGAAAGAAATGAACAAGACGAAAAATGCCCTTGTCTTCAAAGGGGTTAAATTTGAATGTATAAGACCAAACATTTATTTTTTAAAATGTAAATTTATACATATACATACATATACAAATTATACATCCAGAAAATGATCACTGTTAGGAAGAAGTATGAGAGTGTGAGGGAAGGATACTATTTCCAATAGAGTTCTCAAGGATACCCTTTTCAGGAGGTGATACTTAAGTAGAGTCCTAAAGGCAGTGAGTGGTGTGATTAACGGAACTATCTGGGGAAAGGGCATTTCAGACCCAGGATATGAAAAAAATGCAAAGGCTCTGAGGTAGGAACATTCTTGTCAAGTTAAAGAAAGCCAAAGGAGGCCAGCAGTGCTGGAGCAGAACAAGTAAAAAGAGCAATAGTAAATGAGGTTGGTTATAGGCAATGGCTGGATTATGTATTTATTAAAAGCCCTGGTAAAGGTCAAGCACGGTGGCTCATGCTTGTAATCCCAGCCCTTTGGGAGACCGAGGTGGGTGGATCACTTGAGGTCTGGAGTTCCAGACCAGCCTGGCCAACATGGTGAAACCCCGTGTCCACTAAAAATACAAACATTCGCTGGGTGTGGTGGTGCATGCCTGTAATCTCAGCTATTCGGGAGCCTATTCGGGAGCCTGAGGCAGGAGAATCACTTGAATCTGGGAGGCAGAGCTTGCAGTGAGCCCAGATCTCACCATTGCACTCCAGCCTGGGCCACAGAACGAGACTATCTCAAAAAAAGAAAAAAAAGGCTGTGGTAAAAATTCAAATTTTGTTCTA